CAGGTGTGAGGTGATACCTCATAGTTGTTTTAATTTGCATCTCTCTGATAATTAGTGATGTTGAACATTTCTCCATATGTCTCGGCCATTTGTATATCCTTTTTGGATCCTCTGCCTATTTTTTAATTGTGTTCTTTGTCTTCCTTTTGTTGAGTTGTATGAGCACTCTATATATTTTGGAAATTAACCCCTTATCTGATGCATCATTCGCGATTATGGTCTCCCATATAGTAGGATCCCTTTCTGTTTTGATGGTTGTTTCTTTTGCTGTGCAGAAGCTTTTTAGTTTGATGTAGTCCCATGTGTTCATTTTCTCCTTTGTTTCTGTTGCATTAGGTGATGTATCAGGGAAAATTCTGCTGTGTATGATGTCTGAAATTTCGTTGCCTACATTTTTTTCTAGAATTTGTATGGATTCATGAGTTACATTTAAGTCTTTTATTCATTTTGAGTTTAAACATAGGCATGTTAAAGGAGGGCTTTGACATTGAAGTGAGAGATACAGCCAGGTTATTTGTGTATTTGGCCATTATACTATTATTGGCCACATTCTGCCTGAAACAAACTCAGTGGGTTCAGGGACTTGCTGCTCTGTCTTCTCTCACTGGAATAGAGCACATAATAGACACTTAGTAGATTCCTGTGAAATAAGTAAATACATAAATATAATGAGCCCTTAGTATGTCTTAGATACTATGAGGGGCATTCAAGGGGACCAATAACACTATTTCTGTCCACATCATGCTTTATGACGCACTAGGGAGTTAGAAACATACCACAAAATAGGTATAAAAAAAGCTGCAATGGGCATGCAGAAACAGAAAGGATGACTTCTACTTCTGGATGGTAAAGAAAATGGCAAAGATGCGTTAGAATAAAAGAATTTCGATAGACGGAAGCATCAAGCTGCATTCCATGCTGAGAGACAGCAGAAAAGCCATGGAGGTCGCAGGAAGAGTCATGACCAACTCTACAGTTTACTGTGCTCCATTCTGCTGGATAACCTTTACATTCTCTGCTTCGTTTACACTTCATAGTGCTTCCATTTTCCCACGCTCAGGAAGAAATGATTATTCTTCAGTTAAAGAAACCAAGAAACACTCAGAAATTCATTGGGAAAGTCTGGATTTGAATCCCAGCCTTTAGATTCCGTGGCCTGTGATTCTGACCACTAGATTATATTCAGTGAGTGTAAATCAGCTTCTTGGGGCTGGCACATCAGGAGTGTATTTGGGGAAGAGAGGAGGAGCGAGGCTGGAAACTCCGAAGGGTTAATATGGTGGTGGGAAGTGGGAGTACCGCTTTTGAAAATCTTGAATTTAAGTACACAAAGCATTTTTCTACTTAAATACAGTCAATTTCTTTGAATGAAATATGTAGGTAGAGGTTGTAGAGAATGGTACACTGCATTAATTATTAATAGTTAATTTTACAGAGGTTCTTTATTGCCCTTTTGTATATACTTTAAGTTTGTGAACGTGTATTTCTGAACATTGTGTTTTTCAACAATTTGGCAGAACTGTTTTTAAAAAAGTTCCTCTTTAAAGTATTATTTAGCTGAAATGTGTTCTGATGTTTTCTGACCTATAAGAAACCTTGTTTTTCAGAACATAATTCAACATCAATTTAATTAAAAAATATAAATGGCTCCAACAATTAAAAACTATTATGAACTAATGAAAGAAAATATGTAGCAAAGAACTATGTATTTTTTTTACAGTGAAAGAAGATATAAAGTAAGAAAATATTCCAAATGTATAACAATATTTATAAACTGTGTGATTTTGATGGACAGCTGAGGATTACATCAGTTTTAATAACAGCATGAAACCACTGCAATAAATCATTTTTCTCTTTCCATTTATGCTTAAAAGAGTCTTTTAAAAAACAGTTGGCTCCTTTTGACACCATAAATTAAAATCAGTAGCATTTTGTAGTGATAAAATATTAATCTATACCTTGAGTTGTTTGGATGGAGTAAAAAAACTAAGGTAGCCTTGGCCAGTTGCTCAGTGGTTAGAGCATCCACCTGTGGACCAAAGGGTCTTGGGTTTGATTTCCAGTCAAGGGCACAAAACTGGGTTGCAAGTTTGATCCCCAGCCCTGGTGGGGGTCATGCAGGAGGCAACCAATTGATGTCTTTCTCCCATAACAATGTTTCTCTCTCTCTTCCTCCCTCCCTCCCTTCCACTCTATCTAAAAATCAGTGGAAAAATATCCTTGGGTGAGGATTAACAACAACAACAACAACAAAAACTAAGATAAATTTTATATCCTTTTCTTGCTATTTCCAGCAGCTATACGTATGAGAAAGAATCCTAATGAAAATGGGATTATATAATAATTGAGTTAAAGGGGCTCTAGAGGTCAATAACAAATTCTAGTTTAGTTTGCCAGTGGGTGTGCTGGCTAATTTTGTGTGTCAACTTGGCTAGGATAGGATGCCCAGTAGTTTGGTCCAACATTAGTCTGGACATTGCCATGAAGGTGTTTGTGGATATGATTTAACATGTACAACCATTTGACTTGGACTAGAGTACATTGCTTTCTTTAATGTGGGTGAGCTCCGTCCAATCAGTTGAAGACTTAGAGCAAAGACTGAGGTTTCCCGAAGAAGAAGAATTCTGCTTCAAGACTGAAACATAGAAATCCTATCTGTTACCAGCCTGCTGGCCTGCCTTTCACACCTGCCAGTTCCAACAATCTCACAAATCAATTCTGTAAAATCTCTCCTTGAATATATTTATAGATATATCACTGTATATATAAAACTGGTTCTATTTCTCTGAAAAGTCCTGATCAATACAGTGGGTACACTAAAGCCCAGGGTAATTAAATGCTTCTCCTACTATCATTTAGTAAGTAGTGGCAGAGCTGGTAATAGAAAGATTGGGAAACTGGGTCATAAAATTGCCCCAAGTATTGATTATAAGGCCAGGAAAGAAATTCAGGACTATCAACTTCCAGCCCTTTCTTTCCCAGTGAATTGCATGCAGAGAAATGTAAGGTTTTATGCAAAATCCAATACATTAAAAATTCTGACATTCAAAGCAGATCAAACAGGGAGGGATTATTTGTTTGCTTTACTAAAAGATACAGTGTCCGGTTCTTTACAGTGGCAACTTGACTCCACAGTTAAGGTGGTTTCATTTTTAAACAATGATTTGTAACCTTTTAGAAACTCCTAGGTTCAACACACTTAAACAAGGCAGGTTTTTAAAGTGTCTCTTACTAAAATTATTGCCCAGATTCAATAATTATTTCATCCTTTTGAAGATGAATATTTTATGAGGCTAGAAAAGGCAGAGAGGAAAAGTACACATATGTTGTTGTCTTAGTAAACATAAGTCTCACATTTTGTATGATGCTTTGCTGATAACAAGCTCTTCCATACACGGTCTTCCCTGGAGCTTCACTGTGACTCGGAGTTGCTGGCATCATTTTCTAATGGAGACAACCAGGGCTGACAGAGACTACAGGGCTGGCCCAGACTCTCAGAGACAAAGCATTGGATTCCCAGATCTGAGCTTTCCTGGTGGCCCGCCATGATGCCCGCAGAAGGGTGGTGTTTATAGGTCTCTTGACCAAGAATCCCACAGTGAGCTAAATTCTCGTTTTTATCAAAAGGATATTTGGCTCTACTATGCTAGCAAGAATATTAAGATTCATATTGGAAAAAAAAAATCTAGTACATCTCTTTTTCACTTTTAAAGATAATTCTACCATGTCCTCTTGAATTGATTCTATGGGACAATGGGAAGTTTGATCACGAAGATAAGGCATTCTCTCTCCTCCACGTTTCCCAAGTGCTCCCCAGCTGAAACAGTCTTTGGGTTCTGCATCCTTGTATTATAAGCAAGCTTAATGGTTGTTTTTTACTGTTACACGGTTCACTGAAGTGGAGCAATCATTCCCAATTTTCACAGCAACTCTCTCTCCTACCCTGGTTTTCATTTTCCCATCACATTTCTGAGACTTGACTTCTCTCCTTTTCTCATCTGAGAGGGATTAGACCAAGACAGTTCTGTGGAGGCTCAATGAGTGATTTCTCCTGCGAGAGGCACATCTCTCCAGTCTGCCAGGGAAGGAAAATTTAGACCGTCGCACAGGTCATTTTGAATGGTGGCAAATACATTTCACCAAATGCTACTGGCAATAATTACGGCACGTCACTGGGAAATTTGGTCATTTTCTTCTAGCATCAGGCTTCAGTCTTGTCCTGCATGCACGACAATGACAAGAGAGGACACAGGTAGCCTTCTCCCTAGAAATCACATAAATTCCTCATGCTCTTTTATCTTGGAATGTCTGAAACAGGACGCCAGGGATTGAGTAGGAACCACCTAGAACTCACAGCGCACTAACTAGTCAACTACTCCAAAAAGGAGGCAAAGTGGCGGTCACAGAACACCATTTTGTTACTAGCAAGCCCGCGGGCTCTGTCTGGCTGGGGAAAACGTAACCTGTTGTAGCTTTCAAGAAGGAAAGCTCTTTGGTAAGATGCAAAGTCCTAAAGCCTGTGTGTGTGTCTCCTCTCAGGGAGATAAAAGCATCGCAAAGTCTACCAAGATTTTAGGTTCAACCACAAGACTGTCCTTTACATAAACAGGACCAGGCAGTCACATCAAAGGGCCAAGCAAGACCACGAGCAAAGCAGCGGTGTGACCCAAGTTAGAAGAAGAAGAAGAAGAAGAAACCAAGAAGAGCTGCAGAATGGCGGGCAGAGACGCAGAGGAGGGACGAGGGGGAGGGAGGGGAGGGAGGGGAGGGAGGAAGCGGAGCACGGACGTCAGGAACCGGAGCTCGGTGGAGTCTGGCGGAGGCACTGGGGAGCATGGGGTGTTCGGAATAATTATTACCATCCGTGTGTCTGCGCCATCCTGTGGGTGTGGCGCAGAGCGAGCGTAAACTCGAGCGGGGCTGGAGCAAACCCTGGATTAGCGGCAGCAGCTGCCAGCCTGCCCGAGGAGTGCGGGGACCCGCGGCACGCCACCGGCACCATGGCCTCGTCTCAGGGGAAGAACGAGCTGAGATTCGCCGACTGGATGGCAACTCTGCCGGAGAGCATCCACAGCATCCCCCTCACCAATTTGGCCATCCCAGGTAGGCGCGCAGAGGCGCCGCGGCCCCTCCCCGCCCCGCTTCGTCTGCCGCTAGGTGCTAACTTGCCCCAGTGCCCGGGGAGGGACACTGGTCCCCAGGGGTGCGTCTGGGGCCAGGCAGCGCGTGCCTGGGAGCCTCGGCCTCCTGGCCTTGCCTAACCCTCTGGAGACCGTGGCGCGGGGAGTCAAGGTGACTGCTTCTCCGCTGGCTTTTGAAGCAGGCTGTCAGAGGGCTGGGCAGGGGACAGGCTTGGCTCCAGGCTGGCGCCGGGTGCCCTCTCCCTCGTTTTTCCTTGCGGACTTAGGGGTGGGAATCTGGGTCTGTGGGGTGATCGTGTGCTGTGAGCGGAGCTGATGTCCTCGGGGCTCGGCTCCAGCGCAGGGACCCCGGAGTCCATCGCTGTCACAGAATCCAGGCGATTTGGTAGATTTCTCGGTTAGAACCTACCTGAGTCATTTAAATTCGTCCCCAGTCTCCTTTAAAGGGACAAAGCGCTTCCCCAAGAGTGATGAAAGTTGAGGGACCGGCAGCTGCAGGATCGCTGCCCTTGACCAAGGAGCTGCTGGGGGCGAGGGGCAGAGGGCACCGTGTTGTAGTCTCCTTGTAGTCTGCGTGGACCCGGCGGGCCTGGCCGGGTGGCCACCGTCTGGACTGTGATCCCAGCGCTCTTAGCAACAAACAGCGAACAGCGCCGGTCGGGAAGCACGAGTCCTTGCGGACCGTGTGCGTTTGTTGCTCCAGAAGAGCTGGGCAGGGGAACCTGCAGAGGGGCCCTGGTGGGGTGGGATTAACAGGCAAAGCCCAGGGAGGAGGGGACTGCGCTCGCGCCCCAGCCAGGAGACAGGGAGCCTGGCAAAGCCAGGGAGAGGCGGGAGGCCCCGGAGGCTTCAGCATGGCGCGGCTCGGACCTGAGCCCTGGCGGGTTTGGGGGCGGTTGAGCGCAGCAGCCCTTCGGCTCAGGTGTGCAGTGGGGAGGACGTTTCAGGACAGTGTAACGCAGTGACGGCTGGGGACACGGCTGTACTTCCTTTGACCAATCTGACTTTTCACTTGGGCTGCTGGAGTGGACGCTTAATCTCTCTCTAGGAGCCGGCTAGAGGACAAATTAGGGACAGGCAGTCCCCCCTTGCCCCTAGCTGAGCCTCAGTATCAAGTGCAACCTCCTGCTCTCTCTCCTCTTGATCTGCCCCACCCAGCGCCCCCTCTCAGCCACTGGGGGAAAACAGAATTTAAAACAGCAAAAGAAAGGTTCTCTTGAGAATTCCACGGGGCTCTGAGGAGCCTGCTGGAGCTGATCAATAACTCCAATCGATGGCTGTGAGACAAGTGGGCTTTGACCGGCACTGGCTGCACTAAACAGCGGCCGGAAGGGGAGAGCCCGTCTCCTTTTGCCTTTTAAGAGGCAGCTTCCCAAGAGTCCAGTGTCCCCGAGGAAAAGAGCAGCCGGCTCCTCCACACCGCCGCACCTGCTCCGGCAAGAGCCTGGGGATTGCTCTTTTGAAGGAAATGGTGGAAAGTACACAACTTTGTTGGCAAAATTCCACTCTCACGTCTACAGGCGTTCCCATCCTCTTTTTTTCCTTTGGTTTTAAAGTTACTTCCACATGGTCTCACCTGCGCGTTTCTGTACACAGAGAGTGAGGAGGGCAGGGACTCTGCTGCCTGTCTTTCGATAGCTGACTTTCCGGAGACACGGGGAGGTTAAACCCCTAAATTCACAGTGCTGTTTCTGAGGGATGCTGCGACACCCTGCCTGCCTCTTCGATGTCTGGAGCTCTCCACTTTTCAGAGCCCGAGTATGTAGCCCAGATCACAGCATCCGCCCCCTCCTCACAAAGCAGGCTGGTCCTGTTAACTCCAGTCCACGCATGTCAACACGGCAGCTCAGTGGAGGCACATGGCTTGCTATCGGTTCTGACCTCTAGCATGGTCCTTAGGGAACAGCTTCTAGGAATTTTGGAGAAAAATGCTTTGGTGTTCGTATCTGGATAATTCAGCAGCAACAAGTACTGACCAGGATGACGGGGAAAGGAAATATGTATTAGCAGGAACAGGGGAATTTTCCTTTCCTCCCCATGGAACAAATGGAAAGCAAAGTCTCTGACTGGGATATTCTGGGGGATTTAGAGACATAAGGATGATGCTTTGGATGTGGTCGAATTTCCTCCACTTTCCCAGCCCCTGTTAATATTACACTCCGAGTGGATCCCCCGGTAAGCTCCCCATTCTCACACCGATACTTCTCAGAAATAAAACCTATTTCTCCAAACCTACCCCCCAAGTCCCCATGAGTCTCTCATGTAGATTTGGTAGATCCATACATGTAAATCCAGATCTACCTGTGGGTTACAGCACTTTTCTGCATTACTCAACTGTGAGGATTTTTGGAGAGAAAAAAAAAAGACATTCAAACTTTGATAGTCAGAAAAGACTAATTGGAGACTATTAAACACTAATGGAATAATTGCCTTAAAATCATGCTAATAGCTTTCTGGCTGCTACATGTTTACTTGGCCCGTTGCTAGCGCTTGAATTAAGTAATTATCTGCACCATTTAAAACCACTCCTGGTGTGCCACACAAGTGTTCCCACGGAAGGGACCGCTGCTCCATCATCCTCGAACTTCAGGTTTTTGTAGGTGACAGAACTGGAGAGTGAAGAGCTGCCTAATCACAATGAGGCCACCCACTGGGGGCAGCTAAACCAGATGGCACAGGGCTAGAGCTGAGCCGGTCAGCAGGGTGTGATGCTGAGCCGGTCAGCAGGTGTGTGATGCCCCCCCCCCCCACGAGCGCACTCCGGCATCGCTAAACGTCTTTCAGTGTGGGATGGGAATGGTTTCAGAACCAGGTCTCTCAGTCTCTGCATCTCAGTGGCTTCAGGATTTGACTGACCTGAGGAATTACGTTAATAATTGGTGTTAGTAGTTTTGCTTTTGTTTATCGTTCAAAGGAATGGTGCTGTCAAGACACATGGGCAGGTACTCAGATGTCAGTCTCATTTATCACTTATTCTCTCTGATGACACCGAACTGTTTGTTTACTAACGGCCTGGCAGTCTGGGTGATGCTTCCTCCCCCCACAGCAGGAGGAAAGCAGGAAGACAAAGTATGAAATGCAGGTGAAGGGGAGTCTGATGGATTTCTGGCATCTCTGAAGCAGAGTTTTTAATGATTTAATCATGGCAGCTCCGGAACCATTGCAAAGAGACCCATCAAGGGGCCAGCAAGCTGTTGCCTAATGTGGTAAGGTGTTGGGAATCTGGGTCTGTGACAGGAAGGCACTCTGTCCCCTACCTAAGTGATCAGGAAGGGATTTGTCATGCATCTTCTGAGATGTGATGAAAGTCTTCTTCACATAGTACAGTAAGTTGACCATGAGATAATAAAAGATTGGCCCAAATCTTGTGGGACTGGAACCTCAGAGAGAGTGTATGTTTCCTTGATGTTGGAGTTCATTCAGAGGGTGTGACTGCCACTTGACCCGCGAGCAGAACTCAGGCAACGGGAGGCTCCTCTCTCCCTCCCTGCCCTGGGAACACTGGTTCTGCCCAGGTCCCCACAGCAGAGCCATTTCCAAGGACGTAGCCTTGGGAGAGCAACGTGCTGTTGGACCGTCTGGGCGGTATCTGAAGATGGACGCAGTCAAGGCCTCTGTGCAAAGTGTTACCAAGCTAGCAGGCTAGGGTGGCGACTTCCTCTTGTGTCCGACCCAGACAAGCTAGTCTGTAAGTTCCCCTGCCCATTCGAGCTGCCACCTGCAGGGACCTGCCTCCTCCCATCTCTCCTTGCCCTCTGGGTACCATGGCCAGTTTGTGAACCAGCACGCGCACAGGAATCGTGGATGGTCCTTTACATAGGAACGCGGACACGCTTTGGAAACTGCTAAGTGTACCTGTCAGTTTTGTTCGTTTCTTACAGAAAATGGCTACAGCGATGAAAAAGAACAGTTCTGCTGAGGGAAGGAAATCAGACCTTCCCACAGCTCTGACTTCCGTGTTCTTGTGTTTGCTTTTATCCGTTGTTAAGGTCTTCCCTTGCAGCAATCTCTCCTTGTTGCCAACTGTCTCCTTCCCTGACTTGGAACTCACTACTTCTGTTTTGAATCGGGTGAGACAGTCGACAGGACAAATCCGGGGCTGGGTCTGATCGTACACATTTCTTTTAAAAAGCCAAGGTTTTTACTTTTTCAGCTTTTCAGTGAAGGTGGTTGTATGGAAGTTAGTCTTTCAAAGCAATCAGTAAGCAACAAAATCGTTTCGGATGAATGCCCTTGTGTGGCTTTTCGACCCCCAGTTTTGTTTTTGATTTTGCTGAAGAGGAAGACTTGAAGACTGTCTGGAACACAATTTATTCCACTAGGGCTTTTTCTTGAACAGTTGAACTGAGTCACCAACTATTTTTAACCAATATAAGGTGACACTTATGTCATTTTACAGTTCATGAAGAGTTTTCTCATGTACACCTGTGCTCTTCACATGTTCCTTCAATGATCTAAGGCCTTGCTACTCGAATTTGGTCCAGGGACCAGAGACACGAGAGCCTGGTAGAAATGCAGCCCCTCAGACCCCTCCCCTGATTTAATCAAGTCTGCATTTTAACAAGATCGCCAAGTGATTTACATACACATTTAACATTGAAGAAATACTGCCTGAGGGTATCTCTCCGGGCATCTGCTCTGTAAGTGGCAGAGCCAAACTTAAATATGCATCTTTGATGAAGCTCTTTCTCTTGGATCATGCCATCCATCTATGAGTGTTCAGATTCACAGTCAGGCTCAGAGCCAGAACCCCCTATGTACTCAAGGCTAATGGCCCGGACTGGGAACATTTCTGATAACTGACATTATAGTTCATCATGCACCTTGAACAATAGATGTGATTTAATTGCTACTTAAATGTTCAAACGAGGTCCTGTGATAAATGCACAGCCTTCCCCTTCGCCTCCCGAAGTCCTGCTGTTCACTGGCATCAGCTATCAGCAGCACTTAAAATCGGCCCCC